GCAAAGTACAAATTTAAGTAAATAAAATATGAAAACAAATACTACTTCCTCTAAATAATTTCATTGTCAAAGATTATGGCACTGATCGATCTGACATGAATATATACACACCTGAAATGTATTCAGTCAATGCTTTGCGCTGTAAATAAGAATGAGCATTCTTCCCTATCTCGGAATCATCAGTTGTATCTACAATTATATAGACGAATGGTAGTTTTTTCCCCATAAATTTGAAAATTAAAATAAACACGGTTTTCTAAACGACCTCTTGGTATTCATAATGTTAGATGGTGGGTCTATGTTCATTCTGAATAGAAAACCATCACTGATTCATTGGAGACCTTAAGACTAAGTTTAAGCTAATAGGATGAAATTCTTTTCAACGCAAAGTGGCTATTATCTTATGTGAGATAGAATTCGTATTAAAATTTCACAGTGAGCTAAAAGGTGGATGTTTTGTTCTATGTTATTCTGTCTATGCGTAAGCTGAGTTCTGATAATAAAGTTATACTGATCCCTTCCGAATACGAAAAATTAGGGCTATCAGCTTATGAAATTTAAGTGTCTGAAAAACAGACATTTTTATCCACCTCGCTTAGCAACTTTATTTATTATTGACACAACAGAAATTTCTTTCGGCTGATTGTTATGTCAATAAACCGTAGGCCTTTAATCAGAGATCATATGGCCGCTAAAAGCACTGCAGATTTTAACTACAAATATACACTTCTCGCCCTTCTTATTCTATGACTCAATAAACCATGTACTGAACCTAATGTGCCATGAGGCTTCAACCATCTGGTATCTGTTATAAAAGTAGATGAAACAGCTTGGAACGATAAGGAGTAGTTAGCCAGTACAACAGATGATTAACCAGTATTCGGAGACACTAACGTACTATCACCTTTGATGTTCTTGACTGTGGTCAACTCGTTTATACGGCAGAATGTCCTTGGGGAGTGAGTTTGAATGACAAAAAGATCCTAGATCTGAATATTGCAAATGACTTGTGTATAATGTCGCTCATACTCGAGGATATACAGGCGAGTACTAACAAGCTGGCATAAGAATCAGCGAAGACCTCAAGTGAAATAGAGAAGACAGAAGTGATTAAAACAGCTAACTAATAGCCACTGACGCCATTCACTATCGACTGAAGAAATTTGGAGGAAGTCATTTATTTCGGTTATCTTGGCAGCAATGTTTCGACAACAGGCGTTACAGATGAATATGTCAAGCGCCGGATTCGAATGGCAAGACAGAATTTGATTAAACTGAAATGAGTGTGGGAATCGGCTGCACTCAACATAAGAAAAAAAGACGTGGACTATGAACTCTAATTTCCATTCACTGATTCTATGTGGTTCAGAGGCGTAGCGTGCCACCAAAAGCATTTCTCACAGGCTTCAGACTTTTACTAACAGTTGCCTTCGCTAGACGCTCAACATCAGATGGCTAGAGAGAGAAGGGATAAGCAGCAGAAAGCTCTAGAAAGGAACCAATCAAGAACCTATCACCTAAAAAATATTCAAAAGAAAGTTGACGTGGATCGTACACATGCTGAGCAGACCATTTAGTGACACCGCACACCAGGCCCAAGAGTGTAACGCAAATGAGAAATGACGAGTCGGGCCTGAAAATAATAATTACATCTTTCAGTGTTCACTGTATCCATTTCTTGAGGCAATTTTAAAGGTTAACACAAAATGTCCAGTCGAAAAGTTATCCACTAATGCTTCCCCAATAGTTTGTCAGTGTACGTACACATTTCTCGAAATGTGAAACAGCTATGAACTTGAGTGTAGAGATTCACTGTCGTATGTGAAGAAGATGAAACACTTCTGCTTATAGACTGCTTTGGTTCCTGTTCATCAACCGGTATAACTGTCAACTAACAATTACGTGAAAGAATTCTGTCACCAGTTACATTTTCAGTCTATCGACTTAGTAAGAGTAATGAAACTCTGAGAAGCACTTTTTCTGAGTACAATTCTTCGAATCTATCTGTAAGCAGTTGACAAGCATAAACCGTTAAAAGTGAACTTGGTATGGACATATATAAGCATAGTCTAAATTCACCACAATAAGGCAACGTGGGATTTCTAGTAGTTGTATTAACAACAGAATTAAAGTTCCAAGACTTCTACTGACTAGTTTCCAATACTCAAAAATTTATTCATTTGCCATTTTGTGAAACTAAGGCACTCAATTATTTATATTCATTTTTATTAAGAACTGTTTTCATCATTAGTTGTATTACTTTTTTATCATCTGCGTGCCTTCTTGAGGATGATGTCATTCTTTTTCAGTTCATGTCAATGAATTTATAAAGTACTTCCTATAGACATAACGGAGATTTGTAGCTCAGGTGGATGATTTTGATGTAGTTGTGTTCTCCGAGCTGGATGGCTTATTTGCGAAGCTAAAAGCTCACTTCACCAAATTGAAGTATGCACTGAAGATGTTGCCTAGCTTCGCAAATAAACCATCTAGCTCAGAGAACACAACTACATCAAAATACTTCCTGTATTCCAATGTTCCTTTGTGGGTTTTAGCTTTGGTATAAGAATTCAGCATTTCTTTGTGTCTAAAGCTTGTCACATGTGTGTTTGCGATCAAACGCACACACACACAATCATTTCCAAAAAATCACAGCTCAGCATTGTTCACTCACTAAGCAATCGAGTCACAATAGTCAGCTTCTGTTTTCATTAAACGTCTTGTAGCTGAACACTTTATGAAGGTAGTACGTGTTTAGACTTGCGCAAATCAAACACTTTATGTCAATGTTTTCTTCAATCACATCAGAATGTTGTTTGGTCGAATATGGAAAATGATCTGCGGTACAAGCTTATGGTGCGATGTTATTTTACGTAGAGCTTTTTGCCTGAAACAAGGTAAACTGTATTTGTAAATATTACATATGTGAATTATAGATTGTGTGCTTTGAAATTTAGATGACTCAAATAGTCAATGTACACACTGACCTGCTCTTTATAAGTTAGTCTTTAGCCGACGACAATTCAAACTGTAGGTATTAAAACAATGCAGCTCTGATTCTCAAAGTTCTCTATAAATCATATAATTAAAGGATGGCTGCATTCTTCCTCAAAGTACAAAGTATTCTGGCCAATAAATCGCTAAATAAGATAACAAATATAGTTTTTTAGACATTTTAACTCTGAGTTATCCCTATCTGTGATTTCTTGTCGGTTATGTTATCCGAAGGGATGATATCCGAATATAAACCACTGAATTACCCGCTCAGTAAATCTGTATGCCAGCGAAAAACAAGACGATTATGGAATGCTAGTTTTGTGAAAGGCGGTTCTTTTGTTATTTATCATTCTCTTCGACAACATACTGATGCCTGAAATGGTGATGTGGTGTTTCATACCTACTGGGTGGCGGGGGGAGATGTCAATTTCAGACATGATGAAGAACACAACTTGTAGTCCACTGGTACTCATCGTAGAGTGTATATTGTCGACCTGTTACTGGTTAACATTTGTCATCGACATCGCTCGTGCTTCTCATTGGTTATTTAGGAAAAAATATTGCAATAATTCTTGTAAAAGTTGAAAGAATTGTTGTGACTAATCCACAGGAAGTAATCAGTGTCATCCTTCTGGTCTTTGGTGCTGGTGTTCACTAAATCCTTTCGGAAAAGTATGCCAGATGACCCAAGTGATGTGAAAAACCAACACAGTGTACTTTGAATTGGTGTTAGGTAGTTGGAGGTAATCTCCAAGATGTCCTGAACTTGGGTTTCATGTTTTTCGGTACTCACCAGTAGGGTATATCCGCAACCTTCAAGGAACTGATGTCCATCCAGAGATTCACACCGGCGTCAACAGTGCTTACTCTAACTCAATGTCGAAGGATTTAATTATTTCATCTAGAAGCAGTTGACTAATCGGTTTTATTTAACCTGTCACATCTTAAGTGTTCATTACATAAATCTCATTGCAACAGGGTTAACGCGCCTAAGTTGTTGAAATCGTCTTAATTATTTCAATTTCCAGCCCTTTAATATCGCAAATACAGATATGCACCACAAGGTTTCTGTTTTATTAAATCCATAGGTCCTTTTTAGAGGATAAGGTTGATAGCCTCACAGTCAACCTTCTCTCTTTACCGGAATTACTATCGGCTAAGTGAGGCATAGTAGTTAGTCGTCGGGGAATCGAGCCATGAACCACATGAGCTGCTTAAAAGTATTCTACCACTGAACTACCTATGCACTATCCCCTCAATATTATTACTATTATTGTTTACAGCAACTGATGAGAATGAACCACTGTAAAACTACCTCCAGAGTGGTGTAAAACAGAAATCAGTACTAATTATACTGTATTTATCATCACTTCTGTTGTTTCCTGTGTGAATCTCATCACTAACCGACATCAGTCCGACAACTGTTGAAAACCAGGGAGTGAGTACTGAATGGACAGTTGTTTCCAACAGAATTTCCACATAATGGCTGAAGAGCAACATGCTCACCTTATAACCTGAAAGTCATAGGTTCGATCCATGCTGTACTCAAACATGAGTACTGCCAAAGAGTCTTAGACTAGGACAAAACAGGTGATCAGTATCTTGTATTTTTCAGTAGTTGTGTAATTGATGTCACTTAGTGATGAAATTCACTTTGGGAATAACCGAATGTCTTCAAAACCAACAGTCATAAATTCCTATTGTTGTTAAGCTATGCAAAGTATGCTTTTACGTCGGTGAGCTTTCTGTTATCCCGGTACCCTTTCACTTTTTTTGTATCTTCCTAATGTCGATATTATCACTATTATTCTGTATGGTTCATCATAGTGTGACTACACTGTATGGTGGTTGTATTATGATTGGTCGCAAATATTTAAGCGTTAATAAGTGATTAATTCAAGTTTATTTATGATTGGTTGGAATGCTTGCACTGCCTTTCTTCCTACCACCGTAATCATTCTAGTAGGAATGGTGTTTGTTACACAGATTTTATGCAATCATCTCTCTGCTACATGTATAGCCAATAAAAATTAGGAATAATTTCACTGAGGTTTGTTATAAAAGTCGTTGAAATTTTCAGCATCTTTTCGGTGAATAATTTGATAACAGTTAGTCTACAAGACAAAGAAAGTTACTTAGTGAAGTCAGTAATTATGAAATCGTTCACCTTTATGAATCTGCTGTCATTCCTACTATTTACTGGTGTATTAATGTTTTCCGTGAAAGGATTAGTAATGCCTGAGGTGAGTTGCTGACTGATTTTTCCACCTTTTGTTTGACTAATTAATTTCGTTTTTGTTTTAATCTTAACTGTTACACATAACATCTTCGGTTTATTCAATTTTACTGACTAATTGGCGTCTATCACTTGATGAAAGCTTTTTCACAGATGATCCTGGGTATCAGTGAAAACTTGTTTTATTTAGTAGTCGATTAATCTGACATAATTTTCACTCTATTTTTGACTTAATCATTTCTCTAGTGAGTTATTCACAAACTCGACTGTTTGTTCAATGCATTTCGATTCACTCAGATTGGTTAATAGATAATTAATGACATGAATTCGACTGACTCAGAGATTCAGATTTCAATAATGAAAGCCTCCAGATGTAAGCTTATGCGCCCCATTGATAATTGCCGTCAAATGTGTTTTTTAAAGGTTTGTACCTTTCCATTGATTAAATCCACCTGAAAACTAGGATGCAGCGGCACAGGTTACCCCCTATTGAGTTATAATATATTTGAAATCAACCAGCAGCATACATGCATCGCTGATAACTGTGAATGAATGAGCATGTATAAGCGGTTGCCTAAGAAATAAGGCTTTTCAAAGATTGAGTGGTTATCGTAATCCACTTCTTATTTTCGAATATTTCATTCAAAAGTCTACCTGGATAACTAGCTAGCTGTTAGACAAGAAGTGTTGAGAGAAAATGCTTCTGAAGAATGAAACAGTTTAGGTGAAAAATAAGAACTGCAAGTTGATGTATGCTACTGATTGATATGAGTAGTGCTCAGGTAGAGATAGTCTGAAAACTGGATGGCTGTTTCACTCATTCGCATCCAAGTTCGTCAGATTTGCAGTAGTATCTCAGGAGTAGCCACACAGCCACTTATTCTACTTTACGCATATTTCAGCAATTATTAGATAAGTAGCTTCAGACGTATATAGACACTGACTAACTGGGTTTAAAACAAAATTTGAACATGTGTACACTTTAATACTTTAACAAGAGTGAGTGAACATAACGTAGGAACAAAGTAGTCGTAAATTATTTTCTCTCTATACACAAAATTCCTTGATGAAAAGGTGCCGGTCTAACTAGTGTTGAAAATCTAACTGTAGTGTACTACTGAGTCGGCCTAGTCTGGGAACTTTATCATGCTACCAACGGTCAAAAAGTGGTTTTAGTTACTGTCTATCCCTTATACTAACTACTTTCAAATCAAATAATCTGCTATGATTCTTAAAAAACTAAAATAAAGTGATAATCTATAGAAGTAACGAAGAATTTCATTAAGGAGTACATGAAATCACATACATTTTGTTGAATTACTATTAAAACAGAAAAATATTAGATGGAGATTGGTGGAATACCACGATTTTTGGGATGCTCAATTACCAAATATTGGTAGAACCAATCAATCACACAAGTCATTTTCTTGCAAATAGATAAAGTTGATTTCAAACCCCCTTGTGAGGTAGTCAAACGAGGGGAATCACGCCTGTTATAGTAATTGGGAAATAGGTGAATTGAGTTTTAATTTAAAATTTTAGAATATGTAAGTAATGTGATGAGAGAATGATACACAGAAATGTATGCAAAAATCTAATCAAATCGACGAGTAATTCTCCAAAATTATTATTCTGTTGAGTTTGTCTGTAGATTTGAATGAAAATCTCTCTTCTTGAATTCATCATCATCATCTGAAAACATTTTCAGTGTGTTTCACTATCCTTGTTGACATTTCTAGACTTTGAATACACTGCGCTTGACTGACTCTATTGCTAAATAAGGTTTGCCTTAAGAGGTATCCCACAAAGATCATAGATTGGGACATCTGAAATATAAGCGTCTTGAACTAAGAAAGTATAACTCACTAATTTTCATTTGAGCTATTAAATCTTCTTTTTAGCTTTGCATTTATTGAGCATATTGTTACTAGCATTTATGTCACATGTTGTAGTTGCTTCGGAATTTCATTGCACATCTGTCTACTCGTGTATGTATCCAGTTACTGATAGCTTTTTCATTCCTACCCTTTTCTCAATATTCCACAACAATTATAACTGTATTCTTAAGTAGTTTGTCTCTGCTTTTGTTCATGGTAACCACAGTAATATGCACACCATGCTATTGCCAAGCTTTGATGTCTAAAGGTTATTCGTCATAAAAAGCTGTAAATGAGGTATGCATTCATTAAAAAATTACCTACACAATAGAATTTGTATAATAAAGCTTCTTTTATTGGTAAAAGAAAAACAAAAGGCAAGCATATTTTCTCTTAGTTTACTAATTATTTTCAAGTGTTGGGTTTTTGAAAATATTTGAATAATATAAATGGCGGTTAGAGAACCCAATGAATAATCTAGTGCTCCGTAGAGTATAGTAGTTCTTTATAACCCGTGTCAGCTCATGACGAAATCTACATTCCTGAGTATTGTTTCAGTTGAACAGAATTGTTTATACCTCACAATCTAAGGTATTTTGTTTTGTTTTTGTCTCATTTTCTGATTAAACCCTCAAGAGAAATCAGTTGAAATGTTAACTGTTTACAAAGTCAATTCACACAAAATATATAAGCAAGTCGATTAATTAAAACAAACAAACAAAATAAGCATTGAATACTGATCACGCAAAAAGTGTTTCACATGTACTTTAACTTGTTAACAGTCCTCAAAGTATTCAAGAATAAGAAGATAAGAGAAAATGAATTCATTAATGAATATTAGTTAATTGCTTAATTGTTATCTGTTTTGTTGCCACAATAAGTTCGTGTGTACTTTGTAAACGAACATTTACTGTGAAAATGTCTAGACAGGTGTGTATGAATGTTTGTAAGGGTAGGGAAGGTAGAAAAACATCGTGAAGTCAATAAAGAGTAATCAATTAGTAGTGAGATTTCCTTAGATGACGTCACTCTGGCAGACTCTTGTTCACCTAATAGGAGATCATTGAAGGTTTTGTGGGCCCCCACCAGTCGGGCTAATGCACTCGGCTTCTAACCAAGTAATCATTTCACCACTACTACTGTCATGGGTAATATGCAGCTGAATTGATGACGACGGGTGTTGTAGTTCATCTGGTAGGGTAAGGGTTGCTGTTTTAAATCCTGTCTGCTTCACTCATCGCCAGATACATTCATTTAAATCAACGCGAAGTGATTATCTAATCTGGCTCACTAATGTAAGTAGGTAAGTGAATAAAGTAAAAGCAATACTACGATTTGAACAAGAAACATTATAGTTTATCCGACACGCTCAGTATGGAGTTACATTATTGTATACTGTAATGTGTCTTCAGAGCAGCACTTTAAAATATTACTAGATGAAGTGTTTCTAGAAACAGTAACATTTATTTGGAGGAGAGTAGAGGGATTAGATAAATATTGTTGAAAATATATGGACATGTTAACGTGACAGAAAGAAAATGTTGAATCCATCTACTCTAGTATGATAGGTTACGTACGCGTCAGAATTATATTCATTCTCCAACACAGTTCAGACGAATATTCACCGAGTATTTACACTTGTAGTGAGTCGGTGGCATAGCGGTTAGGACGCTCGCCGACCATGCACATGGTCCGGGGTTCGATCCCCGGCCACCGACGCACTCCTTTACCTGACTAAGCCAGAAATAATGCTGGTGAAGAGGAAAGGTTGGGCATGAGGCTAGCAACCCCATCCCGTAAAATAAACACTGCTACAGAAACTTCAAGCCTTTAGCTTGAAGCCCTATGTTCCACTGGGGAACGTGAAGGAAAAAGAATTTACACTTGTATTGTTTCACTTTAAGACTCATCCCAGCTTTTTCCCACTCATACCGGGTCGATATTTTCAATATTTATTGTGAAACGATTCCCTGAGTATTAGGACAGATATTCGCCGACCACACTGGCTGGTGGTGGTGTTGTTTATCATGAATTAGCAGAAGTTAGAATTTACGGCCCATTAGGTTCCATTCCAGTGACTGAATTGTCAACTAGCTCGCCTTGTAGCCTGAACATCTTGGGTCCAAGCCCTTGTGAGTTCATGGGTGCCCACTCATGAGTAGTTCCAAATAACGGCGAAATAGCTGTCAAGCACTCTATGGTTTACAAGGGTTCTCTAACTGAGGTCAATTCGTGGGAAAATAAGAAATTTGAGATATTTCAGAAATAACCTTCTTACATCAGAGAGATTAGAAGTAAATTAAATTTGATGAGATAGAGAATGTCATCAGTATTTCAAGGAAAATAAATAAATGCAATGATTGAAGACCAATCACTAATTATTTACTAAATTCTTAATTATAGGAAGACAAAGAGACTTCATTTGAAACTAGGATACACTTTTGTTTTATTTGTATGGACTACATTCCAGTGAATACTTTCAGTGTATAAATCAATTAATGGCCTGCACAGAATCTTGATTTTACCGACCAGCAGTAATCTTTTGCCAATTTCAGTATTGGCATCAATTTTTCAAGACTGACACCAGTTTTCTTCTTCATTAGTGTAAGTTTCTGTGTGTGTGTGTACGTATCTGCATTTATTTGTCCGTTGTTAGTCTTGAGGGATTTCATAGCATCAAAAGAAGTAAACGCCTGTTTCGCTTCTGTGACATAGAATATTAAAATAGTGTGTGCTGCTGCTGATGATAGGCATTCTTCGTGTAGTAAACTGATATACAGAGCGATGACTTCAAGAACTCAGTCACAAAATTACAAGGTGAATTGAGAAACGATGATTAAAGGCTGATGTAATACAAAGTTAAATAAGGAAAATCTGGGAGAAGGGAAGGGGATATCAATCACTTTATTAGTTAGTCTATGCCCCTTTATATATGATCATTAGATTTTACTGGCAAAAAAAGCAGAGAATTCTTGAATGTTTCGTAATCTTGGAGAGAGAGAGCGAGAGAACAGATAGACAACGAAGGATTGTTTCTCCAGTCTGTTGAGTTATCCTGTGTTCGGCTTCGGTCTCAGATTTCAGTTACTTAGGTACCATTTATCACTTTCATATCTTGCTGCCAACGTCA